AAAGTCAAGAAAAATAAAACCTGATTTACAACACTGAGCATCTGCCTTGTCTGAAATATTAGTACAGCAGTTTCACCAGTAGGTTAATGCACTGCTGAAACGATCTGTGACCTGTTTGGAGATCTGTGACCTCAAAAATTACCTTGAATGAAAAAACAAAAATCGAATAATACATACGTCTCGCTGCTATAAACAAGAACTGTTCTAAATCTGTTCTAAGAGCACATTACAAACAGGAGTTCTACTAATTCACTTCAAGCAGCAGAAGTTGCTTGGATTCTTCTGCTTCACTTGTCAGGTAAGTAAGTACAAAAGAGTTCTCATTCACTTGCAAAAGCTCCCAGTCATTATGATAATGACGCATTTATTAAGAGAGGTCAGAAAAATCAGACAATGAAAGCTAAATCATTTTTATGCTCTTCAACACATAACTTCGTTCATTTACAGACTACTTTCTGCAAAAGGGAACTGAACCATACTGTAAATACCATTCTGTCAGTTAAACCATAGCATAGTGCACCAAAGACATCTACACCTTATCTTCTAATCATGCAAAGAAAGGCTGATAGCATCAGAGATTAACTCAAAAATCAACAAAAAATACAAAACTGTTTTCAATTAATTCCAAAAGTCTTAGTGCAATTTCACGTAAGAATTCAGCAATCATTTTATTTGGAGTACTGAACTTACGATAGTATAGTTTTCTTATATCTCATACTTGCATATTGAGACAATACACATTAAACAAAATTTATTAGAAGCAAAGATATTCTAAATGCCATCCATATGTTCCTCATTCAATTGACTAGAAACTTCTGTATACCGACAAATTATCTCAAATTCCATGAGGAAAACACCCTTGTAGTTACTGAATGACAAAATTACCACAGACAAAAGAAAGAAATTTTCATAAAAAATCTCTATTTGTATATAAAACCTAAATGAAAGCTAAATAATGATGAGACTAAAATAAGCCGCACCTTTGAACTAATTTTAAAAGTTGTTTTGAATAAGTTTGAGGTCCATTTCCCTAAAAAATTAAAAACACTTCAAAAAGCCCAAAAGCACTGAAAGTATTGCCTCTTTAAGAAAGATTCTTCACATATTTTTCCTGACAAACACCTACATGTTACTGCACATTCATAGGCATTTCAAAGAGCATATTTAAGAGTAAAGTTAGAGTTACAGTTAGGCTTTCTTTATGAGCAGATCCTCTCCAAACTCCAAACAGTTTTAAAATGTTAATTCTTATCCATGCAAAACAAAACCACTTTTTTATTAAATACAAAGAATTAATAATCTTAGTTCCAAAGTCCTGTGTATAAAAACTGCACATCTATCATATTTCATGCCTATTTTCTCCTTGTTCTCTCAGCGAGCAGAACTATAAAAGAACCCTCTGATCTTTTTTCAGTCAAAAATGTCTTCCATCTTCACAGCAAGACACAAAACAGCATGACTTACCACAGACGTCAATAATACAAATATTTTAAAAAACTCCAAAGCTACAAGGTCATTATAAAAGCAAGAAAAAGGGGTATTATAAAAAATAAATAAATTAATTTAGTAGACATACACTGGCTGCAGATAAGGAAATTGCAAGATAACATACAATTTCAAAAAGCTACTCTTTTCATCGAGGATGCCTACAAGATCAGTGGAAGTATAAAGATGCTCTATTAAAAAGGTTTTGAAGGTAAAATAATCGTAATCACTATAACATTTTCTTTCCTTGCTTTCAGGACGACATTGCCAGAAAATAACCTAATTTTCTCCTAAAAGTATTCATTCACATTAAAGTCTCTCCCTCCTGTTCCTGCCATCTCCAAGTCAAGGAGGATTTCACAGGGCCTAATGGAATTTTATCCCTTAAGCTTCAGGTTATTTCACACTAAGCCTAAGTCAATTTGTAGCATAAACTGTGGAATCTGTAGCTCTTATTTGTGAAAATCATAGGGTTTAACTTCTAGTACGGTGCATAACTGTGTACCAGAGAAACCTTCTATCTTCGCAATTACTATACTTCAAATTTCTTCTAGCAATGGCAGTTATTTTTATATCCCGTACAACAGACTCTTCTGTAACTTGCTTACTGAAGACTACTCACTTCAGTCTATTCTCTCTCTGATCAAAGAGCAACCACTACCCATAAAGCAATACTGTCTATATCGATAGACCTGACAAAAGCTTTTTTTTCACTATCTCCTGTTTTACATAGAAGGTTTACATACTTACTTCCTGAATTTATCACTTGCTAGATCAACTTTCCAACACTATTATTTTCAACTGTTCATGACATACCTAAATCTATGTTTGACAGTAAACATGCATGTCACAAAAAAAATCAGTAAACTAAAACTAATTGTCACAGATGACATGAGAACAGAAGCTACATAATGCAACATTTTTTCTGAAAATCATAGCCTGCATAACTTCTGCTTGAGGGCCCAACTACTAAAAACAAAGAAAAGATGACTGCTTGTTGGGAAAGATGAATAAATAAAATGGCCTGGCAAGATTCACAATAGCACAGCCAGGATGAAAACAACCCCCCCTACTGGCTGGACAATGCCCTTACCTACAGATAGGTCCAAAAGTCAAATGGACTGTTCTACCTCACCCCCCAAAATGTATGGTTCATCCAACACCTGTAACCCTCCCCTGAAGCATCAGGTGTCTGTGACCCCATTGGCCTAAGTCTTGTTCCAGCCCACCTTGAAGCTCCCTGATAAGGGGTCTCCAAGGGGCCAGACACTCTCTTGGAATCCCTGCTCTCTTGGAACTTCCACTCTCTCCTAGAGCGTCCTCTCTACCCCTTGTCTCTCCCCTCCCCCATCCCCTCAGACCTTGCCACATGCTGCATCTGGCAGCTCCAAGCAAGACCTTTCACCATCCCTAATATACCTGATAATCTAAGAGCAGCCTTCAGAGATCTCTCGTCTCCATTCATCAAAGCCATCCTGGAGCCCAGCATTCCCTACAACTGCTGCCAGAAGATAAGGAATCAACAATCTTTTTTTAACTTCTATGTACATAGAAAAAAGAAAATTACTTTCTTCATAATGACCCTTTTCCACAAAAGCCATTAAAAATAGGCCTCAAGTAGAGTGCCTGAGAAAGGCTCACAATGGAGCTTTAAAGGTTCTGTGCTGGGAGAGGCTTTTACTTTTGAATAAAAACAGGTTATTGCAAAAACAGAGGTCTATAACAAAGATTTTCTTAAATACTGATGATGCTTAAGTCACCAGCTCTATCTTTGCATTTTCACCCTAAAGGTAACCTCATCTTCATGCAAAGAATCAGAGAGGTAACTCTCAGTATGTCAACAAGCATCAGAGAAAAAGTTGTTTCAACCAGCAAGTAGGTTTAAGAAGATTGAATGATACCTGAAGTATACAGCAGGGTTTGAGTTGACTATGCTCTTACACTAAGCACAGTTCCCAGTCTTATTCACTAAATAAAAAGGTAAAAGTAGTTACTCTCACTCAGACATTTTCCCAGTAAATACTCCTACAAGGGTTCCTACCTCAGAGAAGCACTGCCTAATTTTCTGCAGTCTGAACTAGAAATTACACCATACTCTTACCTCTATTACACAGCTCCTTTGAAATTTTAGATAGTTACACCTCTACATTCACAGAGAGGTAATGTACCTGACTTGTAGGTTGTCATGCCCCATTAGTTAAACTAAGATCTCAGCTTTCTACTCATCAGCTATTTCACAATGCTAGTGTATGGTACGCTGACAATTTATAACTACTTACAAAAAACACCCATACACCATACTCTGATGACTTTCTCCAAACAGCAACTATATAGACTCAAGATTCTGACTACCTATCTACAACTTTATTTTCCATCTAGGAAGAGAAATTGACAATGTTGTGTTTTGCCAAAAGTAATCTCTAAAAATTCCTGGCTGCAAAGCATTCATAGTACAGCAAAAAAAAAAAAGTCTATATTAATTGAACATATTAGAAACTTTATTTCACCAAATGCAGTCTTTAAACGAGCAGCATGAAATTTTGAAAGCTACCTGAGAAATACTATCCAGTCAATGCAGCAATGAGCATATGATCCCAAATTTTAAGGAAAAAGGTGAAAATAGTAATTAAAAAGTAAAAATTTATCATAACACACATACATTTAAGGTAACAAAATCCAAGTGGTATGGGCATGTTCATTGTGTATTTCTTTTCAGAGACAACTTTTCATACTACGTATGATTTTATTCTAGTTTAAGCACAATCAAAATCACTGTTCTAAATTCCAGGCTGCCTTTGCTAAAAAGCCCCTGAAGACATATATAGAAAACCACTGTCCACTCATAAAATAAACTTCTACATTAGTAAAAAAAAAAAAAAAGAGAAAAATAGTTAAGTACATGACCTAATCTAGGAATAATTTCAAAAAAAAAATGTCAAAAGATTTCTTTTTTCTATATTATAGCTGATTGAGAGAATATCTGTACTCACTTTATTAGGGTAAGAAACTTCACATCTTCCTAACTGATTATAAGCAGTTTTGTGAAAGGCACAAAAATATTTGAGAAGATTTAGGTATTGCTCACCTATGAAAACAAAAGGTGACAATTGGATCATTCAAGCCACAACCATAAGAGTACTTCTGGGTATAAAAGCACCAAGGGGAGTAAAAGGAGAAATTCAAACATTAAACTGCATTTAAATTTCTCCTAAAGGTATTAGTATTAGGTATTTCTCCTAAAGGTATTAGTTCAAAGCATACCTGTATGCAAAAAAAAGCTGTGATAGGTAGGATTTATTAAATAGTGAGGACTTCATAGATACACTTTATTGAGTAGAAAAAAAAGTTAGAATAATGGAATTTATACATTAATCCACTAACTCCTCAGGCTTTTTTTCTGCTTTAAGTTGTAAGGAACACTTTATTAAACAGATTTATACCTCTAAATCAGAAAACTTCAGCCAAAAATTGACCCTTGATTACATTACAGTAAAATGCATTATACTGCTTTTTACCTCCAGATCCTAGCTGCTTGTAGAATCTGTATTCCAAATGTAGCTGTGGTGCTCTTGACTTCATAGGCTCCTGATTTAAAAACAAAAACAACATTTAAAACAAATCCTAAAAACTAATATACTAACGTATGACCAGCCAAACTAGCCCTACTACTTCCAAGCCACACAGAAAGTTTGAATGTTTCTTCTGAAATGACTGGCAACTAAAAAAGAGAAAACTAAATGTCCTTCATTTAGAGTAGTACTTATATGGATATTTACATCTTGTATTGCTCTACTGGGCCAGAGTCCAACATGCAAATCAAATAACAGACACATGATGGAACAGCTAAAAAATAGTATGTTTCTCCAAAGCATGTGGATGGTATGTCCTACATTTTTCAGAATGTTGCATTAATATGCAGTTAAACAGGTTGAAAAAAAACTCCAAATACCTAATACTTGAGAGATGTATCTTTGCAAGTCTTATCCTAGGATCTTAATAAAAATACCAAATCCTTCCACCAAATAGTAACAGCTTAGCAGAAGTCAAGTATCACCATTCCAAATTATAAATCCAAATAAGCAAAAACAAAAGCTCCAGAATAAGTCTGTGGTTTACACACATTAATGAAATCTCATTTCAGTGTTCAACATGCCCATGTGTCAGGGTCTCACAGAACTAAATGAAGTGACATGAGATTAAACAGAAGAATACACATGCAGGCTAAATGGAAATCCAAACTTTTTTACTATCTCCTGATGCAAAGAAAAGGTTCTTTACCACAAGATTCTTGAAGTAATTTCCTAGGGCATCTTCTAGAAGACATGCCTTGTTTCTTATGACATGTAACATGATCTTAAGATTAAGCTCCACCAGGGAGGCTTAGGTTGGACATTAGGGGGGATTTCTTCACAAAAAGGGTGCTTAGACATTGGCCAGAGATGTGGTGGGGTCATCATCCCTGGAGGTGTTTACAGAAAGACTGACCACGGCACTGAGTGACATTCTGACATGGTGGTCTTCAGTCAGAGGTTGTACGTAATGCTCTTTCAGGTCTATTCCAGCCTAATTGATTCTGTGATCTTCCAACACATCAGTGATAATTTGGAAACTAATTCTGTAACTAGAACTGCAGAACATAGTTAAGTAACTCTTAATACAGTTATCACCAATAACTGATACTTGCTGAACATCAATTTTCAGAAAAAGCTTGGGCAAAGTGCTCATCTTTCTTCTCATACCATCATCTTAAAGATACAAGTTTATAAACCTGTGCTGTTTCTCAGTATTGTATTCAGGGCATAAAAACTATGAGCCAACATGCAAGAATGAGAAATTTAGTCTTCTTCCTCAACACATCTCCCTCCAAGACTCCACGACTTAGATGTTTCCTATCACTGCTGAAGTCCCTGACAGCGTCTATTTATGCATTTGATCTTGCCAGAATGCCAAAGGTGGATGCCTAAAAGAAAAGAAGGACTAATGTAACAGTTTCTGCAAGAAGCAAATAGAATTTACTGTATCTTTTTTATGCTCCAAAACAACCAGCATAACTTAACATTGTATTCTTTGCAAAAAAAGTGAGAAGCGAGCAAGAATTTCCTAAAATAAGCAAGTGTTTATTATTAAAAAAATTAATTACTAAGCAAAACTAACTGGGCTACCAAAGGCCTAGTTACAGGTCATGAGAAGGACACATAAAATTTAAGGTGAAGTACTGAAGAGAGATATTCCCTGAAAAAACTTTAGTGTAAACATGAGTGTCCTAGCTTGTAAGATAATCATGTGTTTTATTTGCTTATTGTAATAGTACAGATGTGGAACCCACAGCACAGGTGCGTCAACTCAAGGAGGGAAACTCTAACTGGGGGAGTTCCATTAAAGTGAAGGTAGCCTCAACCTCCCGTGACCAAGCTTTTGGGTACCATCTATCAGATCCCCCTTGAAGGAACCTCTAATATGTATGCCCAGGAAAGGAATAATAACCAGTGTTAGAGGGACCCTGTATCTAGCCAGGGAGAGGCATGGGAAAACCAGATCTTCTGGACAGTGTGGATCCGATGGCCTGGCACATCACAGACACAAAAATACGATGCTTTAGTTGATACTGGTGCACAGTGTACTCTGATACTATCAGGACATGTGGGGGCAGAGCCTGTTTCCATTGCTGGTGTGACAGGGGGATCACAACAATTGACTCTGGTGGAAGCCTAGATGAGCCTGACTCGGAAGGAATGGAAGAAACATCCTATAGTGACTGGCCCAGACGCTCCATGTATACTAGGCATAGACTTCCTCCGGAACGGCTATTACAAAGACCCAAAGGGACTCAGGCGGGCTTTTAGAATAGCTGTTGTAGAGGCAGAAGACATTAAGCAATTGAACACCTTGCCTGGACTGTCAGAAAACCCCTCTGCAGTAGGACTCCTAAGGGTGGAAGAACAACGCGTGCCAATTGCGACCTCGACAGTGCACCGCCGGCAGTATCGGACGGATCGAGATGCCGTGATCCCCATCCACAAAATGATTTGTGAGCTGGAGAGCCAAGGGGTGGTCAGCAAAACCCACTCACCTTTCAACAGCTCCATCTGACCTGGGTGCAAATCTGACAGAGAATGGAGATTGACTGTGGACTATCGTGGCTTAAATGAAGTGACTCCACCACTGAGCGCTGCTGTACTGGATATGCTGGAACTCCAGTACGAGCTGGAGTCCAAGGCAGCAAAGTGGTATGCCACCATTGATATTGCTAATGCGTTTTTCTCCATTCCTCTGGCAGTAGAATGCAGGCCTCAGTTTGCTTTCACCTGGAGGGGCGTGCAGTACACCTGGAACTGACTGCCTCAGGGGTGGGAACACAGCCCCACCATCTGCCATGGGCTGATCCAGGCTGCACTAGAAAAGGGTGAGGCTCCAGAACATCTGCAATACATTGATGACATCATTGTGTGGGGGAGCACAGCGGCAGAAGTGTTTGAGAAAGGTGAGAGGATCATCCAGATACTACTAGAAGCTGGCTTCACCATCAAGAAGAGCAAAGACCTGCCCAAGAGATCCAGTTCCTGGGAGTGAAATGGCAAGACAGACAACACCAGATTCCCACTGAATTCATCAACAAAATCACAGCTATGTCCCCACCAACCAGCAAAAAGGAAACACAAGCTTTCCTAGCTGCCATAGGTTTTTGGAGAATGCACATTCCCGAGTATAGCTGTCTTTACCTGGTTACCCACAAGAAGAACGATTTCCACAGGGGCCCTGAGCAGCAACAAGCCTTCACCAAGATCAAGCAGGAGATTGCTCATGCTGTAGCCCTTGGCCCAGTCAGGACAGGACCAGAGGTCAAGAACGTGCTCTACTCTGCAGCCGGGAATAATGGTTTGTCCTGGAGCCTTTGGCAGAAGGTGCCTGGTGAGACTCAAGGCCGACCACTGGGATTCTGAAGCCAAAGTTACAAAAGGTCCGAAGCCAACTACACCCCAACAGAGAAGGAAATCTTGGCTGCCTTTGAAGGAGTTCAAGCCGCCTTGGAAGTGAATAGCATGGAAGCACAACTCCTCCTGGCACCCCGACTACCGGTGCTGGGGTGGATGTTTAAAGGAAAGGTTCCTACTACCCACCATGCCACTGACGCCACATGGAGCAAATGGATTGCCCTCATCACTCAGCGCGCCCGTATTGGAAACCTGAATCTCCCTGGGATTTTGGAGATAATTATGAACTGGCCAGAAGGTGAAAACTTTGGTCTCACTGACAACGAGGACCAGGTACAAGCGACAAGGGCTGAAGAAGCTCCACCATACAACCAACTACCAGCAGGAAACACACTACATTCTCTTCACTGACGGTTCCTGTCACATCATAGGGATGAACCAGAAGTAGAAAGCAGCTGTATAGAGCCCCACAGGGCAACTTGCACAAGCTACCGAGGAAGAAGGTGGATCAAGCCAACTCGCTGAACTCAAGGCTGTTCAGCTGGCTCTGGACATTGCTGAAAGGGAGAAGTGGCCAAAGCTCTACCTTTATACTGATTCGTGGATGGTAGCGAATGCTCTGTGAGGCTGGCTGGGAAGGTGGAGAAAGGCCAACTGGCAACATAGAGGAAAACCAATTTGAGCTACTGATATATGGAAAGACATTGCCTCTCGGGTGGAGAAACTAACATTGAAGGTCTGTCATGTGGATACCCATGTCCCCAAAAGTCAGGCTAATGAGGAGCACCGAAACAACGAGCAGGTAGATCAGGCAGCAAGAATAGAGGTGTCAAAGATAGACTTAGATTGGCACCATAAGGGGGAGTTGTTCCTGGCTCGATGGGCTCATGATGACTCAGGTCATCAGAGCAGAGATGCCACCTACAAGTGGGCACGAGACCGAGGGGTGGATCTAACCATGGACAGTATTTCTCAGGATATCCATGACTGTGAGAACTGTGCTGCCATCAAACAGGCCAAGCAGGTGAAGCTCCTATGGTATGGAGGGCGGTGGTCCAAGTACAAGTATGGGGAGGCCTGGCAGATTGACTATATCACACTGCCCCAGATACGCCAAGGCAAGCGTTACGTGCTTACCATGGTGGAAGCCACCACTGGATGGCTGGAGACTTTCCCTGTACCTCATGCCACTGCCCGGAACACCATCTTAGGCTTGGAAAAGCAAGTCCTGTGGAGACATGGCACACCTGAGAAAATTGAGTCTGCAACGGCACCCATTTCAAGAACGGCCTTATCAACACCTGGGCCAGAGAACATGGTATCGAATGGATATATCATATTCCCTATCATGCTCCAGCTGCCGGCAAAGTTGAACGGTGCAACAGACTCCTTAAGACTACCCTAAAGGCACTTGGTGGGGGAACATTTAGAAACTGGGAAATTAACCTGGCAAAAGCAACCTGGATGGTCAACACCTGAGGGTATGTCAATCGAGCTGGCCCTGCCCAGTCAGAACCTTTGCACACAGTAGATGGAGATAAGGTCCCTGTGGTACATATGAAAGGTATTTTAGGAAAAACTGTTTGGATTAATTCCACCTCAGGCAAAAACAAACCCATCCATGGGATTGTTTTTGCTCAAAGACCTGGTTAC